GTCTGGGTGTCTCTGCTTAGGCTGCTGCCCCCGCGACCTGACCCCGGATAAGAGGAAGAAAATGGACGGATGGAAAACTGATTTTATTCATTCAAGAAAACTTCCCCATGTTAGAAAGATTTGATATGCAAGTTAATTAATATATTTTTTATTTAACAGGACAGTGCATATTAATAACAGTACATCTGTGATATGTCAGAATTAGCCAAAGGCTAGTTTTCACCTGTAGTCCTGGTGTCCAGTTATACAGTGGCACCCTAGGAAGACATAAAATGTCAAACAATAAAATCATCAACAATTGAGAACAACATATTTAAGGCAGTGTTAGTTCATTGCAAGAGAAAGAACAGTGGCAGCATAAACAGTGAGATACAAATAAAAATAGTTCTGAGGAGCAGCAGCAGTGAATCATTTAGTAAGAGCATACAATCAGCAATGTGAATGTCAAGTGTAATAAAACAGATTAAGACATTTAATAGAAGCGAGATGAAATGACAAACAGTGTTGATAAAATAAGACAAAGTTTACAATCGATCAAAAGAGAATTACACATTCACAAGAGAAGCACAAGATGCCGGCAGCAGGGATTTAGTGTTGACAGGTCAAAAGTTACAAGTTAGTAAGATAAAAACTAAAAATGATCCCAGCGCCAGCCATCAAAATGGTATTTTTAAATGTTGTCAAAATGAATCCACTTTAGGTTCTAGATATGAAAACAATTAGGAAAAAAAGGGCCTGGATGCTCATTTATTGTTTAGGAGGAAACAATAAAACAGATACAGGTTTCTGTGAGGTTTGTCAGCACATTTTGTTTTAAACCTCTTTATTTGTTTTCAACAAATTCTTGCAAAGTGGTGATAAAACGTCATCAGGTCATGTTCAGAGAGCAGCTGGGGGTTTAAATTAAAGATGATCAAACTACTTATTGACTGTAAAGTATTGTTTTTAGTAAGGTGGTTGAACACAATATATAAATATAAAGGATTTTTTTCTCTTTTGGATAAAAATGTTTCGATCTGTGTTTGCCACCTCAAAGTCTACAATCCTGCTGTAACAGCATCATAATGTCAGCAATAATAATGTTGCTTAAGAACGTGTTGCATTGGTTTTTGTCGTTTTTTTAGGAAGCTGACCAGAGAGGCACTGTGCTTGTTCTTGTTGACCTGATGGACTTTGATTTAGCCAGTGATTTTGGAGGCCTTCAAATCCTCCTGAACTTGTTGGATACATCTGAGGTCAGATGCAAAGTAAGTAACGTGCAATGGATGTTGGTGGACAGAACCTCATGTGCGCCCACCTATGTTTTAGTTACAGGAACACGAGCATTGGGTAGAGAGCGTGCCTTTAAAGACACGGGGCTGTAAATATTTACCAGTGAAACTGTTGCAAAAGGCAGGTCAAATCGCACCTACACGTCTGTCTACCTTTAGTGGAAATGCAGCTAAACGTCATGCTTTTATCAGGGTCTCAGCACAGATGGAGGCTTCATGTTGGCATAAGAAATTAAACTTATTTGAAATGTTTACTTTTTTAACTACATGATTGTTTTTTTTTTTTCGTAAACATTGTGTGTTCAGATTGGGTCTCTAAAAATTCTGAGAAAAATCAGCCTCAACAAGCAAACCCAGCAGAGCATCGTACGCATAGGAGGCCTGCAGAACTTGGTGAAGAATCTGGACGCACGAGAAAACCAGCTGAAGGCGTTAGCCGCTGAGACCATCGCTAACGTGGCTCAGTTCCGCAGAGCGAGAAGAACTGTCAGACACTGCGGTGGCATCAAAAAACTGGTGGGTATCATGTACTGATGGCAGAATTATTAAAAACCAGAAGTAAAGTGTGTTGAGATTTCATAACAATATATGCTCCTGGTCTTCTGCCAGCAGTGAATTTGTCAAGAGAATCTTGAGCTAAAAATGTTTATATCGTTAGATAACCTTATATTGTATGTGTTTACAGCAGAAACACCTGAAATGCTTTGTTGCTTCATATCCTTAACGTCTGCAAGTCTAAYGAGTTTTTGTGAGGAGGTGACAACATTACAAAGTTTCTTCTGGTTTGGGATCACGTTCAGTCTGATCCACTCGTTACTTGWTTAAAGTACGAGACGYAGAAAATGTAGCTGTTCTTGCTCTGCGTGGTGCGGCAGTGTGAGTGTCCGTCCGTTTGTTGAACATGGCAGGGTGCCTGCTGGGTAAAACAGATACTCTCTCTTACATTCTCTGAGCAGCCTTTCTGTTTGTTGACAGAGAGACCTGTGATTAAAGCCTTCACGGCTTGTTTATTTTCCTCAGCTCCAAATCGGATGTACTCATGTACAAGTCACTCCCAGAGACAGAKTCTTTTCACGTCATTCTATGAGACCACCTTTGAACTGTGCAGTCAGAGTGTACCAGCTTCACCTGCTCTGCCTCACYGTGCAGGAACTATGATTGGAGCACTAAATGATGGCAATAAACCGTCACACTGAGCTGTTTTGGGGCTGACATCAATCCTGACACTTTTCCACTTTTTAGATCTCTGGTGTTATATGCACAGAGCTGGTGGTATTAGGGTTGGGGGGGTATTGATCATTTTCATACATATGATCTTCAAAATACAGCAGTAGGCTGGTTTTGATTTTGTAAACCTCTCTTGGAGGAGCAAGCAATTGGGGTATCTCTATTTCCCCTCTCCTCCACCATTTGTTTTCTGATTAAGCAGAGGTGATCAAAACGTGGCCTCTTCTGAAATGTTTGTCCTAACTGAGCTCTCATTGCAGCACTGTGGAAATTTGGCTCTTCACCTCACCAGACTCATATCATCATAATATTTATATTTGTCATCGTATTTTGATGCCCCAGTAAACAAAATACCTTACCGCCCGAGCCTAGGTGGTGTTATAACTGAAATGACCCTCTTAATCATGACCAACACGTTTCTCATTATCACCCAAACTTACTGAGAATTCAAGTCAGGTTGACAGAGATTTTCTGAATGACTTCCTGGTGGTTTTCTACTGAAACACCTCGTCTGCACACATTTTACTGTTTGAGTTTGTAGACTCATACAGCGGGTAAAATAAGTATTGAACACGTCACCATTTTTCTCAGTAAATATATTACTA